ACCTTATGGTGGAGTGGTGTGCTCTGTGAGCAGTTATTAGATGCCTAAAAGAGCTTTTTAAACATTACCTAAGCAAAGAGTAACCTGTCTCTGAGTATGGCTAAGGAGAGGTTGTCCTGACTGAAAGAACTGTGCCCTTTGAGTTTTCTGGTCCTGACTTGTAACCCGTTTAGCTTCCCTAACAAACCCTATAATTGTGAGTATGGTGTCTGAGTTCTGACGCCATCGCAAACAATGATGGAACCCAGAGGAGAAGCAGAGAGTGCTGTGGAGAGACGGTTGATGCCATTCATATTTTTATAGCCAGCTTCACATGATAGGCACAATGATGGAGACTGAGACCAACAAGCACTGGCGGACACAAGAAGCAGTCGAGAATTAACACAGCCTTTGGGAACCTAGTAGTCTGTGTTCTTCAAGTAGCGTTACTTGTCAGTAGTGACTGTTAAATTTACTTAACTGTGAAGACTGTAATCCTTCTGTATAAAATGGACCTATTTATATAAAATTGACTTATTTATGCCTGAGTAGGTAGCAGTATATATTAAAGTGATAGAAAGTACTCAATACAGTTCTACAGAAAAATACATTCAGTAAATAAAACTTATCTTATTATCATTATCATTATGATCCCAAAATGTCATTGATGGCTAAACATTAACTACGAGAGTGATTGAGGCTAACCTACTATGTTGTTGTTGTTGTTAAGTGCCGTCGAGTCGGTTCCGACCCATACAGGGCATGGGAAAAAGTTGTATGCTCATTGAACTAGTTATTATAGGTCAGAAATGTTGTTAAGGTATTGCGTATGTCATGTTTATAAATCAGAGAAGCAGTCCCTGCCATGTTAAGCTTATAGGCTTACTATTAGGTAAACATTTAAAATAATTAAAATTAAAGATACTGAGGGAACAACAGTAAAAATTAAAGGGTCTATATAGAGGAGTAAGGAGCTCTGGTAGCGTAGTGGTTACGAATCAGGCTGCGAACCGTAAGGTCAGCAGTTCGAAACTACCAGCCGCTCCGCGGGAGAAAGATGAGGCTTTCTACTCCCGTAAGGATTTACACCCTC